CTAATTTGTACACCACAATGTCTTTTTTTTTTCATTTACTTCAAGTATACAAGTATTTATACATTTGTCAAAGACATGTAAATGATGTCATTTATTTTGACTTCATATGACAGTTGCATGGAAAAAATGTTGATTGCAGATTTGCCAAAGTCAGGAACATGTATTTTATCTGAAGTATTTTAAGAAAATTAGACTGCCCATACCATTCAAGTGCAGTGTGACCCCACTTTAACAAGGTAGTTGTGAACCATAGAATCCAACCGTGTTATGAAGTGAACAGCATTATAAGCAACCAAGTTAGTTAGCTGAAGAAAATGATGCAGGTAAAGTACCAACAAATTTGTGGGGGGTGGGGGTGAGACAATAAAAGTGGGTGCAAAAGTGTGCTTTATTGGCACAGTTACCATTTTAAAGCAATGTATATTAAACGAGAAAAACAACTGGTGTGATAACAGATTGCATGTATAATATTTTATTTTATTTTATTCAGACAACCATGTGTTGGAAAATACACATGTATAGTTTACATATACATGTCTAATCTATAGCATGAATATAGTATCAACTCTGTACTAGCTTGTGAATCTCTTCACATGTATTGAATCAACAATACAAGTATTTCCATCAGAAATATCTGACATATTTAAAATATTCAATAATTTTGTCATGATCATTATGTGACTGAATTCAATGGGAAAAAAAGAACCATTACATAACAAATGATATAATAGTATGTCTCAAGGTTAATTAACGTATCTGTATAAATTTCAGTCTGCTAAATTTTCTCATCCATGAATGGTATTGATTATTGTTGTTTGAAAAACAGTGATTTTCAGCTGCTTTCTGTTACACATTTGCTCTTGGCAAAGTCACTAATGTTTCTCAACTAAAGAATTAGAACATATTTGATATCTTTCATCTCCATCCATCTTAAATCACACTCTTTACTTTTGAATTCTTCTGTTGCTGATGGTGGATTATCCTCAGGTTTGGTGTCCTTGCTATCATCATCAAAAACATCACTATCATCAGCATCACACTTTCTGCATCTGAAACATGGTCTGCAACTGGGTAGTCATTATCAAAAGTGAGCCATTCATTAACACTGTCACATGACTGCATCAGCTTCCCAAATGCCTTTTCAGCCTCGAACACAACATTCTCAGAAAATCCATCAAATAAATAGTTCTCCTCATCACTGATATTGCCACTGTTATCCTGAGTATTCCTTTCCCAGCATTTCTCAATGCAGCTGGTCGTAATGGCATCCCAAGATTTGCTGCTTTAGTACATTACTTCTTTCAGTTTTAGACTTTGCAGTGACACTAGGACCAAGGTTTCATCGCAAACAATCTTTATCACAAGTTCTCTTCTAAAATTCATTTTAAAAACTAACATTATGCCCTGGTCCTGAATAATGGAAGTATTTTTGGGGAGAAAGCTGGCTTTTATTTTTTCATCATTACTAACCTGGAGGCTGTCTTTGGTTGGGTGTGTGGGGCAGTAGTCCTTCGGCTCCATTGTCAGATTTCGGAGGTGGAATCGAACTGCTGGTACTTAAATTTGCCCCATAATTTGATCATATTTGAATTGGCTATTGACTTTGATGATAAGCAATGTACTTAATTTACTTATAAATTCAGGCGAGAATGTTTTATCAACCACCTTATTGTTTTTTTGCTTAGTTATATATGCAGTTTAGAGAACATGTCAGCAATGATTTTATATCTAATGCATTAAAGATAAACACAAAGTTGACTTGATGGCTTCATTGCTCATGGATCAGTAATAATAAGATTAACACTATGAGCTGTCATTTTTCAACAATAAACAATGATCAAAGTTCTCAAAAGGCCTAGCCATTGATTCAGATACTCATATTTTTTGTTTATTTTGGCACAAAACTGTAAATTGCTAAATTTCAGAACTTTTTGAGCCATGCCACAATTTATATTCTATTTCATACATGATTTCCTCCCCAAAATGATAAAAAACTTTTGCAAAGAAATTTGTTCTGCATATGAGAATAATACATGTATATGATATTTCAGGAGCCACATCACAATCAACTTATATTCAGATTTATATGCGATCTCTTCTCCATAATATTATTAAACTTTTTACGTATTTTATTCATGTCCTTATAAGAATTTGCTTTATGAGAAAAATATCTGAATAAGGTATATGAAATTTCGGGAGCCATGCCATGACCATGTTGTATCCTAATTCGTGATATAATGGAATGTGTGTTGGTGGTGGTGGAAGTCACACTATTGTAATGAGCTGTAGATAGTCTGTCATTAGCTTGTGTCATCATGTCATTGGACCATTAAGTTATCCATTAAGTTATAAAGATTAGTCTCATCATGTCAATAGACCATTAATTTATAAACATGCAATTCAACATGTCAGTGGACCATTATGTTATAAACACTTATATCATCATGTCATTGCACTATTAAGTTACAAACACTAGTCTCATCATGTCATTGGACCATTAAGTTATCCATTAAGTTATAAACTTTAGTCTCATCATGTCATTGGCCCATTAAGTTATCCATTAAGTTATAAACTCTAGTGTTGTCATGTCATTGGACCATTAAGTTGTAAACTCAAGTGTCATCATAAACATTAGTCTCCTCATGTCAATGGACCATTAATTTATAAACATGCAATTCAACATGTCAGAGGACCATTAAGTTACAAACACTTATGTTATCATGTCAGTGGACCATTAAGTTATCCAAAAAGTTATAAAGATTAGTCTTATCATGTCAATAGACCATTAATTTATAAACATGCAATTCAACAATAAGTGGACCATTAAGTTATAAACATTTATATCATGTCAGTGCACTATTAAGTTACAAACACTAGTCTCATCATGTCATTGGACCATTAAGTTATCCATTAAGTTATAAACTTTAGTCTCATCATGTCATTGGCCCATTAAGTTATAAACTCTAGTGTTGTCATGTCATTGGACCATTAAGTTATCCATTAAGTTATAAACTCTAGTGTCATCATGTCAGTGGACCATTAATTTATAGACATGCAATTCAACATGTCAGAGGACCATTAAGTTACAAACACTTATGTTATCATGTCAGTGGACCATTAAGATATAAACACTTATATCATCATGTGAAAGGACCATTAAGTTATATACACTTATGTCATGTACAAGGACCATTAATTTATAAACACTTATGCAATATCAGAGGACCATTGAGTTATAAACACTTTTGTCATCATGTCATAGGAGTTGAGTTATAGATACTGGTCAGAATAAAGCCAGTATATCTGCTAATTAGAATTATTAAAACTGCTTTTTATATTTTTTTTTATTGCATAATATTGTCAATATCCCACTCATTAGACATGAGGCTAAGCATTCTTGTGTCAGAATAAATGTTTGCATGCTGGTTTTTTCATGTATATATTGTCTATTACTAATTAACATCAAAAGATAATCAGATGTTTGAAGATTTAAAATATGGGAATCTTGGATATACTGTATGCTTGGTCAAAAGTCGTATTTAACATCCGTTTCTAAACTTTTTCTTTTATTTTTGCCATCTTTAAAAAATGGCAGCCATTGATCTTTTTATATTATAAGTGCATTCATGAATATTCAGAACGTGGATTGATGAATTTGTTGTGTGTACAGAAACTAACAGATGCCAAGATACAGTTCCAGATAATTTCAGAGGGTTTTTAAATATTGCAGCAAAGAAACATATAAGTGTCAAAAATCTGATTGCATAAATTATTTTGTTTTTTGTTGCCAATACACCATGTGTGTTTGTGAGGTATACTCATTGTTTTTATCAGGTTATGGTATGTTACAAAATGAAACATACCTGCAGTAGAGGTGAAACATGTACTTGGATTGTTTTTTTTTATCTGTATGTCATTTAAAATTAAATTAATGTACAGAATAAAAGAATTTGTCCAAAATATTGATGTAATATCTGCCATAAACAGCAAATCTCTTGAGTATAATTTTACATGATATACAATGATAATTATATTTAACATGGTAACATGAGTATAATTATATTTTACATGTTATATTGTTACGTTGATTTACTATATATATATATATATATATATATATATATATATATATACGTTTATAGGATGAGTCCAACTGAAAACTACACTGACCTAAATAAGCTGGTACAGTATGCAACTGCAGAACAAGGTTTGTGTGTTTTGCAGTTGGACTCTAAAGTGAGTATATATGGTACTGTATATGAACCATGAATGTACACAGTAAACTTTAACATTTAGAACCATTGATGGAGATAATTGGTATTGTGCCCCATACATGACCATTGCATACTGTACCTGGACTAGAATTCCTACCTAATTGCCTTTGTCCATTGTCAGTGGAACACATTATTGTAACTATTTTGTGATCTGAGTTTCTTTATGACCTTAGAAAGTTCCAGAAATAAAATTTTCCAGTAAGATGACAGAAAATGATAATTTCTACCTAGGACAAATGAAGGGGCATATAAAGTTGTTTACTTATTTTTAGGATTACTCATTTCTATCTTAACATTCAAAGTGGAATCGGTTTTAGTTGTGTTCACTTTTTAGTTTCAGTGGAGTTATGTATTTAAATTATTCAATGGAATTACAAAGTGTTAATTAATACTTGGAATAAATTTATTAGTGTAGAATTATATTGAATTCAATTTTGGAAATTTTGGATTATATTACATGTATTGTGATACATTGAAAGACTAATAACACATGACCACATTTCAGGTCTTTAGGATATTTAACTACATGCATATCACATTTAATATTGTAATTTATTTAGCACACCACTGGAACTCATTTTCAATTTTATGCATTTGGATCTGTGATTGAACTTCTAGAACTATTTAGGATTTATTTAATTCACAATACTATTAATTTCTTATTAAATTTTCACTTTGTATTATATGTAAATAAATTACTTGTTGAATTTTACAAAACTTGTTAACCACTCCGGTGGCCTAGTGATTAGAGTGTCCGCCCCGGATGCGGGAGGTCATGGGTTCAAACCCTAGCTGAGTCATACCAAAGACTTAAAAAATGGTACTAACAGCTGCCTCGCTTGGCACTCAGCATTAAGAGGTAAGTGTTAGGACAGGTTGGCCTGGTGTCAGGATGATGTGACAGGGTGGGACATCATACTAAATGTCTGCAGCATGATGCCCCAGTGCCAAACATCTCTATAGACTGTCACACTGCAGACATCATAGCGATAGCGATATGATGGAAAAATTGTTAAAGCTGTTAAAAATCTAAATCACACACACAAAACTTGTTGATTTTTGCTCATTTCTGTTGCTTAGCTGAAGACCATAGAGTCATAAGAATATACAGGGTTGTATTTAATAGTGTAATAATAGCAGTAACTACAAAAAACTAGAATATTTCTTTTTTTCTCTCTCTGATGGAAATAAGATATCACAGTCAGTACTGGATTTAGGCATAAGCCAAACAAGCTACAGTGGGTAAGTGAGAAAGTCTGCCAGTAGCTTCTCATGGGTTGGTGGTTCTTTCCTGGGTTTTCCAGGGTTATTCCTTCACCATTAATACTGACTGCCATGTATAGCCTATCTTGTGCTGAAAAATGGCATTAAACCCTACAACATTTGTCTAAATCCAACACTGAGCCCAGTACATATTATTGTGAGTTGTTATTGGCACTGTATATTTATGATATCTGTGAGGTGAGTATGCCATTGCTCTTACTGTAATTTCATTTGTATTTATATTTATTTTCCTCTACAAGTTTATGACGGTAAACATCTATACAGACATAGGTGTCATACAGGTAAAATAGGTTGTCATTTATTTACCTTGTATAATACATAATAGTGTATGTTGTATGAATTGTTTACAAATAAGGTGAGTATGTAATAAACTGTAGATTATGTATGGACCTCAGAAACCTGGAATCATGCTGATTCTAGCTGTACTTATGGATAGAGGAGGAAGCCAAATGTTTCCTCTCTCTCATCCTCATCAGGTATGTCACTGAGAAGCTTACCTGTTAAGTTCAGATCATTCCAGGATCCAAACGCTTATGGCACCATCTTCGTCTACAGCAAGTGAGGGTCCTCCATGTGGAACTTAACATTTGAAGGATCAATCCCTCCACACAGAAGGAAGATGTCAAACTCTATTTATGTTCAGGATAACATGTTCCCTCCCAATAGGGAGGTGTACACTGCTCACTGTGTGCTACGAGTAGTGTGTTGCTCCTACTGTGTAGGGAGATAGAGTACTGTACTCCAGTTAGACAGGTAGAATACCACACAAGTATAAGGGAGGTGAAGCACCACACAGATGTGGGTCTTCCTTCAAATAAGGGGTTGAGCACTGCATAAGCATGTGGATGTCCTATTAGGGAGGCACCACATAATGAGTCAAGGGAATCATGTTGTCACATAGGAGGTTGTGTATTGCAGCCAACATTTTAAGATTGGTATCTTGTGCCTCTCAGCACAGCACCCTTTGAGTAATGCACAGTTGAGGATAATGTATTCTCAGATTATTACTATGTGACTACATGGTATGGGGATAGGATACATATGGTGTACCCCCTCTACCATCCTATCCTGTATATGATTGGGAATCTGCCTACTGGTGTCAGACTAGGGAAGGGGAACAGGTCAGTTTCCCCCCTTTTCTTTTTATCCCAACTATTTCTTATGGGATAATAATAGGCCCTTCACCAGTATCATTGGTCTTGTATGGCCTTGTGGAAAGCAGGAACTTACCATTATAGTAGAGTTAGTGATGTGGCTTGTGACACACCATCACCTCTTTGCCATGTCATATCAGATTGTTAGACTAGAATGTCACATCGTCTGGGGCAGGAAGAAAATCCCATCTACTTCCTTCTGACTACTCTCTGTTGATGCCCTCTCTGATATCTGGCCAATCCTTAGTTCAGAGTATACTAGATGGAGGTGTTGACTCCAGTGAGTTTAAGGTAGAAACAGTGCCATTGACACCTCCTACCAGACACATGCCTTTCAGTTGGATGATGAACAATTGAAGCCTGGTCCTTCGATAAGGCAGTAATGATGTCTACCTCCTCTTTCACCACAACTTGTACCCAAAACTATCAATCACACAATTCTGGAAAATACTCTCCTTTTTGAAAAAAAAAACCAGTGTTACAAACTCAGCTAGACCTATTAGTTTTTTTTATTCATTTCTCCACATCTGTGGAAATTTCTCCAATTTGTGGGTGGCCAAAATGTTGTGATGTTGCTTAGAATGCTTCAAAAGGTCTTGCTTAACCCTAGTAAAGACCTTTTAAGGGCCACTTCATTAGAAGTTGAGACCTTTTTGCTGGATTCAGTGGCTACCAAGGACTTACTGACTTCAACATTAGTCCTTGACTATTTACCCTTTCTATCAAATTCAGCTACACAGTAGTGATGGCTAATGTATTACTGCTGTTAGTGTGGGAGATGTAAAAACAATTTTAATGATACAGTACTTACCCATCACTAATTTTGAATGCCTTTCTCCCACCCTGCTCAGATCTCCTGGTGGAAACATCTGTGAAAAAGATAATGGTTCTACACATTACCTTAGCATAGTGGCATTGTTGTACTAACAGTTTCAATACAGATACAGACAAAAAACCCTAGAAAGTATTACATAATTCAAATTAATTTCAAGTCCCCTAAAAGATACATTTCAGTATTTGAATTGACTGGCTTCATTGAGATCAGTGAATGATAATCCACTTGTACATGGGTTAATTTGACTTAGTATAACAGGTTGTTTAAAACACTGCTAACTAATTATATTGGTATTGTTTTGTTTTGAAGTGTTTTGATTGGTTGATAATAAGATCCCTTAGCCCTATATATGAAGTCAAACAGTAATTTGAACTTGTGCACATACAATAGCTGTAAATGACCAGTTATAATAGATGGGGTATATCACAGAATGGTAATCAATAAATAGCTTTTTGATAGATTCAAGGGTTCATTTCCCTAGAATGGGCCAGATTACAGTATATAAAGTAATTAAATCATGAAAATTAGCACTTGCCCAACTCTTACATTTTTAGAATGCTACTTCTACCCATCACTAGCCAGGATTTTGTTGATGTGCCATTTGCATACATATTTAATTTTTTATTAATACTAGATGTCTTTTATAGTGTGGTACAAAAAAAATGCTGCAACTTTTTGGAGTTATACACACATGCATGTGTGTAATATTTAACAGTGGATGCAGGAGGTCATAGGTTCGATCCCCAGCTGAGTTGTACCAAAGACTTACAAAAATGGTACTAACAGCTGCCCCGTTTGATGCTCAGCATTAAGAGGTTAGTGTAAGGACTGGTCAGCCTGGTGTCAGGATAATGTGACCGGGTGGGACATCATGCTATATGTCTGAGGCATAATGCCCCGGTGCTAGACATCACTATAAATTGCCACACAGCAGACATTGAAGCAATATGAATAAAAAATTATTAAAGCTACATTAAATTCCAAACCAAACATTGAAGTTTCTTTAATCTTTCTCACATGAACTCCTGCACAGCTGGGTCCAAAAACTAGAATAACACAAAACTAGACCAAAACTTAAGATTCTATGGTATGTTAGAAAAATTAAGAAACTGAAAGTATGGACATTAACATTATTGAAGGGGGTGGGTGATTTATTAATTAGGTGGTTGAATGCTTGTTCTGTAATTGTGTTTGAAATAATTTTCAGTAGGTAGCTTTTCTTAATAAAGTTGTTCACTTTTCTGCATAAATTAAAATTGAAATATTGTTAGAATCTTTACTCCAGGATATTTTAATATACCCGTACATTAACATGTCTACCAGTGGTAACATTGTCTATTTATGTAACTGCCTTTTGATTGTGAATTTTGGATACATGCTAGTGTTATTGTTGATAAAAAAAAACACTAGATTTGTTGTTACAATATAGTCTTATGATTTCTATTTTTAAAATATTGTTTATTTGATAAAATATTTTTGTTTTGACTCAAAATGTTATGAATAAAACAACTTTTAAAACTAGAAATCTTAAATTCTGACATTTTTGTTTCTTATTCCAAGTAATTAAAAAAATTATTCTCATCTTTGAGTAAACCTATGATTGTCATTTCAGGTATTTTAAACTCATTACACACTTATGATCTTCTTTTTCCATTATAAACCTTATCAATTTAAATGAAGCTTTTTCTACATTATATATATATATATATATATATATATATATATATATATATATATATATATATATATATATTGTTTTTGTTGGTTTTAAATTTTTTACAAATTATATTTATTTTATTCCATTGCCTGTTTTTGTAATGATAATTTTGTCTATTGGATTGATTTTTTTTTTTTTTAGAAATACAATTCTGTTTGACCTGATAAACAACCAGTAGTTGAAACATTGTATCTTTTGCTGACTTAGATTCAGAACCAGTGTCAGTTTTGGAGTAAACAATTTTTTTATATTATTCATTTCTAGAATGAGGATCATTGATTTTAGCTTCAGCTATACTAGACTAGGTGATTTTAGGCATGTAATGTTTTTACATTGTACTGGGTAAATGATCACATGACTCTCATCCAGGAATCTTAATTTTGCATCTTAATTTCCAATTGTCTTCTTGAGAAGAACTAGCCAGTAGGGCTAAAAAATTTCAACATTTAAAGGTGTTTTGTTGTGACCAGTTTGAGTAGAACTTTTATTTTTTGGAATCAATGATTCTTTTCCCTGGAGAAATATATACAAGTGCTTCCTTTCAGAAATTCTTGGACGAAGACATTTTTTGAAATTATTCAGATTTCAAAAACTGGAATATTATTGTTTGTAATTGAACAAGGAACTGTTAACATAGCAACACTTTAAAGGTTACCAAAGACATTGCCTTCCGTTTTGGAATTTCAATTGGGAGTTTTTATTGATATGACTTATATTTTTTAATTTTTACATTAATTTTGGAATATATATATATATATATATATATATATATATATATATATATATATATATATATATATATATATATAT